TGTGAAGGAATAAAATTCATTTATCATCAAATTTGCATAGAAATCGAAAAACATATTATAATTAATAACAAAAACAAAATCTTAAAACATCAAAAATTTGAACCATCTGTAATAACATCCTTTAGATCTCGAATACGTCATCCGGGTTAGGGGATCGATCTGGTTCGGAATTCGCAGGAAGTCATTTCTCATTTCGGACCCAAGCGAATTGGTTTCCCCTTCCGGCTGCAGTCGAGCTTTGGTTCAGAGGTGTTTTCCTCGAACTCGTGACCGTGGTTTGATTAGCCGGAATAGTGGTTGTTTGCTCAGGGTGAGTGGTGGTGTTGTTCGCACCGGCTGCTGCATCTCACGTACTGGTGTTAGGAGCACGCAGATTGTTTGATCTGATCGGGTCACCGGTTTTGGAGGATTGCTCCATGATGATCCAGTTTTCTTGATATGTTCCTCCAACCATATTCTGTTTGCGGCTAGAGCGTATTGTTTCCGGTCCGGTGATGGGAGTTGGAGTTGTTGGACTCGCAATCACCGGTTCGTTCTGGATGGTTACATTGTTCGAACAGGTGTTCGTGTTAGAAGGAAGTGTTTGATATCCTCATAATTTACCATGTTTTAGCTTGCATTTAGTTTAGTTTTTGGTCTCTTTCATGCGTTCATTCATCATATTTTGTCACATTTGCATTCATATTAGACATAATAGGTTTTAGGTTAGACATTTGCATGTTTTGCATTGTTTGGAGTCTTTTTCAGGTCTAAATGGACCAAGGAAGACATTTGGAGAATGGTGAATGACGAGGACATGAAGAACCAAATATAATAGCCAAGATGACGGGTTTTAAGCTGCACCAAAGTTCTGTATCGATCAAAACTGAGAGAAATCTGTCCGATATGCAGATCGATATGAAATGTATGGGTCAAAACGAAGGTTTTCCGGTGCGACTCAGCCTCCACGCCCTTCCTAGAAGTTGTAGATGATCGAATATGCTTTCCAACGGAGGTTGAATCAGGTCAATCCGGTCAGTAGTTCAAAAGATATGGCGGTTCAAACATCACTGTCCGCAACCAGAAGTTCCTATCGATCACCTACATTAAGCATCACCTCCTTCCTTCTGATCGATAGGTTTTGGTCCGAAAACCATCTTTGACTTTTTTTATTTTTGCTTCCTAAGGCTATTTTGGTGATGATGTGATTGCTTGGGTAAGATAGGCTTGGGTTTTCTTGTATGTGCTTGAGATGAGTGTGGCTAGATTTTCAGTAAGAACAAACATCATTTTCATCTCAGAATCATTAACTTGGACAATGAATTGATTTTTATTATTGGCATCTTTCAAACCAAATAGCTCATACTTTCAAACTTCTCTTCCACTATATTCATACTTGCTTGAGGGCAAGCAAAATCTAAGTGTGGGGTTGTTGATATCTTTATAATTTACCATGTTTTAGCTTGCATTTAGTTTAGCTTTTGGTATATTTCATGCATTCATTCATCATATTTTGTCACATTTGCATTCATATTAGACATAGTAGTTTTAGGTTAGACATTTACATGTTTTGCATTGTTTGGAATCTTTTTCAGGTCTAAATGGAGCAAGGAAGACATTTGGAGAATGGTGAATGATGAGGACATGAAGAACCAAGTATAATAGCCAAGATAACGGGTTTTCAGCTGCACCAAAGTTCTGTATCAACCAAAGCTGAGAGAAATCTGTCCGATATGCAGATCGATATGAAATCTATGGGTCAAAACGAAGGTCTTCCGGTGCGATTCAGCATATCGATATGCAGATCGATATGAAATGTATGGGTCAAAACAAAGGTCTTCCTATCGATCACCATATCGATCACCTACATTGGGCATCACCTCCTTCCTTCTGATCGATAGGTTTTGGTCCGAAAACCATCTTTGAATTTTTTTTATTTTTGCTTCCTAAGGATATTTTGGGGATGTTCCCTATAAATAGCTAAACCTAGATCTATTTTCTTTTATCCTTTCTCTTCCCCAAAGCTTTGCTTTGGTTTTTCATAGAACAAGAACATACCCTTTTTGGGTTGAGATTGGATCATTGTATATACTTTTTATTTATGTCTTTCATCTTTTAATCTTAAGTATTTCATCTTCTAGTCTTGCTTTCTTGTTTATTATGCTTTAGTATTTTCGAATTTCTATCCTTGAGTTTTGAGATTCTTGGTTTTTGAAGAACAAAAGTGTTTCTAATGATTTTTAAGGTGCTAGAATGTTGGATCTTTGATTATCTCTTCTTGTCTGACTGTTATTCATTCTTAGTACCTCTTTGTAGGATAAGTAGATCTTAGGCTTTCTAGTATTGCACTTAAGGTGTTTGCTGAAATGCTTGAAAGAAGTTATGGTTGATGTCATGTCTTGCATAGCTTGTGCTTAAATACTTAACACCACATTGGTGGGAAATTTTTCTTTAGGCATTGATTATGCATGAGAGTATGAGTTAATGTTAGTTCTATTGCACAAGAGATTAGTAAACCTAGCATAGGAAAATAGATGTCTAGCATGCTTTTTGGCTCTATGGACTTTGACCTTCATACTTGATGATCATGTGTTTAAGTAAAGAGATTTATCTTGAATATGTGATTAGATAAGGGATTAGTTCTGATGGATTGGGCTAGTCTATATCAGTAGTTCTTGCCTAGAGATTAATACATTGATTTTTTCTTTCACCTTGATCATATTTTGAGATTCACCTTATTATTCATTAGTCTTGAATCTCTGTTTTCTAGTTTGTATTTCCTGTTTTAGGTTGTTAGATTAGACTTCCCTTCTTTTAATTAGGCCTAGCTTAGCAAGCCTTCTGCATCTCATATGTTCCTTAGCTTTTGGATTGGATTGACACATCAAGTACTACAATGACATGTGTGTTTGAGGATTGAGTTAAAGCTTAAAACCCTTAACATCAGTGTTCCTTCGATGTTTGTCGATACGGCGAATCTGCTGGATTCCGTTTTCTTGGATCTATTATCATTTTAATGACCCTTAGATCTAGCTACGGTATTAGAGATATCTTTTATCTTTTCCACAGACAGCACCAAAATATGGATGCAAATATCCACACTCGATATTTGTATAATATTTAGATTAATTTAAGGAGATGATGGGTAAGAATCTCTATTCGAGAACCTAAACATAAGATTAAGAAAAGATAAATGGATTTTATTGATAGAATCGGGAGATCGTTTACAAAAGATCGATAGTACAAGAACTTGTGAAGTACAAATGAATAAGAATACGGGAGCTCGTAGAGCGTACTAGTATAACTTAGGTAAAAACTGAGAGCCCCTTCTTTCGTCCCCCTCTGTTCTTTTTATAGCTTTCTTTTAACTTCAACTGCTGCGCGAATCTCGGAGATTAGTTGTAACAAATTTCAGATATCACGGATGTCGTTGCTGGATCAAGCTCTGGATTCGGGACCTCGCCTAGTCGTGCTCGATTTAGTCTTGAAGAGTATTCTTAATTGATGGGAACTCGTCAGTTGTTGAAGATACAAATAAACTGTATACCTGATAGATCATTGCAGATGAGTTTTAGGTAACTGCTTAATAGACTTTATAATAGACCGTATTTAATGCTAAATCCAGCTCTACAAACTAATCGGTCCAGTAACCGCCACACTTTTGTTTTTTTTTTTTTTTTTTTCATCAACCGTCACACTCTTTTAAAATTCACTTTCCCATCAAATTCCAAAAATTATGGTTTAAAAAAAAACTTTTTATTATGTAAAAGCACCTCATGGTGGACTTTCTATTTCAATTGCACACTATACTTCAAATTTTAAACTTTTTATCAAAATTTCCATGTCCGCCGGAGTAAATTACGTATAGCCCTAATCATGTATTGAGATGTTTTTCAATGGAAAGGACATAGAAATTGAAGAAGACGTAGATGGCACTATTGTACACCTGGATGCTATTTTTGTTCTCTGATGCATACGGTTACATGAAAGTAAAATCGATGGAAGACTCAAACCTTAAAAACCCTAGCCGAATTATGTTTGAGTCTTCGATCGATTTTTAATGTACTTATTTGGCTTTGATGATTGCTACAAGCTCTCCTTATTTTTATTGTTTGGAGATATTACTTCTCCTTTGGTTTTAGACTTTGTTCCATTGTCATCCTTTCATTAAAACTTGGTGATAGTATTCTCTAAAACTTTAATTCTTTTTATCTTAGACATGGTGATGCAGATTAGTTGTGTGAATAGAAGAAACTAATGGTTGTCACAAAGGAAGATATACGAATACGATCACAGGAAGATAGGATAAGCCAATTACCTGATGTTTTGGTATATGACATACTTGGTCATCTTTCTACCAAAGAGGCTGTAAGAACAAGTATATTGTCCACCAGATGGAGAAATCTTTGGCAATCCGTTCTTGGATTGGACTTGAGCTCCCGCGATTTCCGGATTTTCAATGGGCTTGTGAGTTTCATTGACAGGTTTCTCGATTTCCACAAGGACTCATGGATACACAAACTCTGTCTATCTATTAATCATGTTCGTGAATCGAACCTCACCAGATGGATCGATCTTGTGGTTGCGCGAGGGATTCAACATCTGGAACTGTATACACAAGATGCCATACCTCTGAGCTTATATACCTGTGAGACATTGGTACATTTACGACTCTATAATGTCGCCTTCGTCAATACCGAGTCTCTTTCCTTACCTTGCCTAAAGACCATGAAATTAGTATTTGTTAGATGTCCCAGTGAGGCCATTTTGGAGAAACTTATTACAGGCTCTCCAGTTTTAGAAAACTTAACTATCTTTAAGTACTCTGCTGATGATGCAAATGGTTTACAAGTGCGCTCTCATACGCTAAAGAGAATCCACATTAATCAGTATAACAAATTTGTGATTAATGCTCCTCTACTCCAGTGTTTGAAGACCGAGATTGACTTAAAAAATCACTTTGAGATCATTGATTCGGGGTTTCTTGAACAAAGTCGATATTTTCTTTGGTTGTAAGCATAATGATATCCTCACTGCTATTTCGAATGTCTAGGGATCTAGATATTCGTTGTGTTTTTTGGAAGGTATGTAAATGTCAACATTTGAATATTTTAAATATTGTTCCACGAATGTTTCTAACCAACAATATACATTTTTTGTTACCCCAGGACATATTTCCAAACTCGAAGTTTCAGTTTTTTTGCTTGTCACGATTGACTGCTAAGTTTGGTTCTAACTTCGATCTGGAAATATTATTAAATTTTCTTCAGAGCTGTCCAAAAATAGAATCTCTCATCTTGATGGTGAATAGCTTTAACACGCTTTTAGTTTGTAAAAAGCGTTTATGTATCTCTCTCCACTCAACTTGTTTTTGTTTTTGTAGATATGGGATCAACCTAGGGTTTATAGTGAAGATAGAGAAGCAAATGAGATGTCATCGACAGTGCCTCCATGTTTGGTATCATCGCTCAAGTTTGTGGAATTGATACGTCCGATCTCAGAGTATGAAGGAAAAATGATATTAGTTGGGTATTTTCTGAAGAATTCAACAATCCTTGAGAAACTGACGCTAAGGCTTTGTGATTGCAATAGCATAGAGGCAAATGATGTCACCCGCAAAGAAATCCTTGCAATGCCAAGATGCTCGACCACTTGCGAAGTCCTGGTTCTTTAATTAATTAATTACCAGTTGAACATTGCATTTTGAGGTTACTTTTGGTTGTTAAATTTATTGATTTATAAGACGATTTTAGGCATTGAGCTACAAACAAGATATTTTTAGTAGTTAAATTGGTTGACTTTTAGGCAGTGATCTAATTATGCGCATGTTTCCACTCAGTTTTCGTTACCAAGATTTATCTCGTCAACGCCTTGTTATTGTGCTTCCCGTAAAATATTTATAAATTAATATTCAATTAATTAATAATTAATATAAATTAATAAATTTTATTTGATTCTAAATCAGATCAATATAAAAATTTACAAAATTCCATAAATTAATAAAATATTAATATTTTTGATACTCTACATAAATATATAGTTTCAATAATAATAAAGAAATTCTTTAGAATGACCTAAAAACTAGTTTTGGTTCCTAAACTAACATACATGTTAGAGAACTTCCACACCATAACATTTTTCACATAAACTGACTATATTATTTTCATTTAAATAACATGCTGATTTAGAATTTCTGATCTAAATTTAAATTCTGAATTTTAAGCCATCATCGACGATACGATTCACTACTACCCACATTTCACTGACAATTCAGCACTACGATTGTACTCGCCAACTTTGACGACTTCAGCGTCATCATCGTTCCCAATCAACTCCGATCAACATCATCATCAATCAGCTCCAATTAATATCGTTATTAATCAGCCCCGATCAACATTTTCATCAATCGATCTACTACATTCATCTTTTCTGATTCATCAATCCAATAGGTATTTTCCGACGATTAGCTTTTTCATCAGATTTTACGGAACTTCTTAATAACGATTTTGATCGTAGTGACCAAGTTAATCGCATAAGCTAAATTAAGGTTGGATTTTTACATACCAAACTAAGAAAGACTAGATCTTGTGTCACTCATGACCATGAACAAAAAGAGCAAGCACAATATTCAAGATATAAAACAAGCAAGAACAATACTAAGCGACAATATTAGGCTAAAAGATTAAGGCTTTATAACTAAACAAGGGGTTATAATGGGTTTCACATATTAGGAGACTCTGGATGTGGACTAAAATGCAAGCCTTTCATTACATCAAAACTTGGCCTTATATGATGATTCCTAAGACGAGAGATCCACAAGTTATCTAGCCCATAGCGTTTGGGTCTAGACCTTTTGCAAGACTCATCACCATATACGAGCTTCTGCAACACGGTACAACAAGTAAAGCAAGAAAGAGGAACCATCTCTATGGAACCGTGCGACCTCTTAGACAACCAATTCCTTAGGCTATGAAACATCTCACCTTTGTCCATGGTTCCAGCTAAGCTAGCACGTGGCCTTCGTGTCTAGCCGCCTAAAAGCTATTAATCTAAGTGATCAGTTTAAGCTAAGCATTATACATGGAAGAAAAAAAGAAATCAAGACTTAAGTAGGACTGTGCAAGAATGAAATCTAGAATCCCCTTCTCCTTTAACGCACTAAATCCCATGATGCTCCCCGACGCGACATGGATAATCGTCTATCTCCTCTCTGATTGTTCTTCTTTGGCTGTGGATTGCTCTGTGTCTTTCGTCCAACCTCCCCGATAGCATATGTGCCTAAAAACAGCTCCAAACATGCAAGACTATACAAAAACCTATCCTAATGCAATCTAGACCTACATGACTAGAAACAAAGCAATAACTAAGACTTAAATGCAATGACTCAATCTTAACTATCCTGAAAATGCCAGAAAAGGATGCAAATAATGATGATATCAGAGAACACGTGGATCTGAATATCGGGTTCTACCTGTTGTGAACCCCATTCGCAAGGTCATATCGGATACTCACCACGGTCATAGACCGATGTGATCGTCTGTAACCTCTTTCTTCCATCCCAATCTAAATTCCTTTTGAACTCTTGGATTTTGTTGCCTCTTTTTGAGATTTTATTATACAAGGCCTGTGTAATTCAAGTTTCGGGGAGGGTTTTGTACATAACTTATTTTCTGTTTTTTTTTTTTTTTTTTTTTACATTTTCATCCTTTGAGTCTCCTGCATAATTAGATGCATATCATCTTAAGATGGAGTCTAGATTGATTTCATGTAGTCCTCCGCATAGGTTGTAGATGATATTCCTTGGAAGATCGCCAATTCGAGTTAAGAGACCATTGTCTGTACCATTAGTCGTTTGATGCATTTTGTCTAGAATCGAACTCAAGATAGCACCACATCTGGAGTTCATGCATTGATAATTAGTTCTCGGTTGAAAATGCAAGATATGATTCTCTTCCCTAACCTATTTGAACCATAATTTTGATTTTCAATCAATGTGTTTGTGCTAAAAAACTAAACTCATAGCTACCAATATATACATTTGGACTTTTTTTTTTTGGTCAAATGTTTTGTTTTCATTTATCTAAATCAAACATAGTCCATACAAAAAGGTAAACATGTGAAAATGCTACCATAGCTAAACCAGCAACACAAAATGCAGAAATAAGAAAGTTATAAAGATAGATGGAAAGGAAGAGAATAACAAGGCCTAGTACATAATGTAGAAAGCCTGCAAACTCCTTCACCTCTGCTCCCAACAAGGGAGCAATAGTTAGGACATTTGAGTCCAAAATGGCTGCCTCTCACCACACATTTGGACTTTCTTATCCATTTCTTTCTTACCACCCACTGCTAGTCCAAATGGCTGGCTCTCACCTATAGAGCAGTACAACCCATCTTGAAACTAACATTTTTCATTCGAAACCATAACACTTTTGCGAGCGATATGTGAGACCTCTTACATAGTCATCTCATGAACATAATAAAATCAGGTATTCTAAACCATAATCTATCCAATTTCAACCATACCTATGGACTTGAAAATCTCATCTTCTTTGTGACGTCTCATTCTCCTTGCTTGATCCAAGGCTCGAAGCCATATTGGAATATGCTCCATGCCATGCTTCTATACTATTTTAAGGTACCATAAGAAAAAAAATTATAGTCAGTAATCACATATATAACTCAAGTGAAATAGATGTAGGGAGTAAAATTAAGGATAAACAAAATATAAAAATATTTTTAATTTTATCGAGTTAAAGTAGTTTGGCTCGAAGGTCTATTTTCCAGATGAATACATGAACAAACCATGGTTGTGTATTCATACCTCAGCTGACCAACTGAAATACAGCTTAAACAAATCATGAATATAAAACTCAATACAAACCTGTTACATATTAGTGGTTTTAGATCTTTAATGTCTTCATTCCTATCGACTGATAAAGAGAAGCTAAATAAGTTATGCTAATAACTTGCCGAACAGTATGTGAAGTACAAGTTAATGTACCTTATTTCAAGCTTGGTTAACCACTACTTAGGTAGTTGTTCATGGAACTCAAATCCATGGTGAGGCAGTTCCAGCTTTGCTGCCCTCTTCACCATAAGTTATAAGCAAAGTTCATTAGTTTCCAGATTGAAATTAATAAATTAAATATAACTTGATTAGGTCTTGATCTGGAGAAATCTCATGCCTTTATTAGCCGACTCTCGAGAAACTAACTTAATAAGGACCTTCATCATAGTATATCAGTACACATTTATGGCATCTTGTATAGCATCACCATTCATCATCATGAAGAACTGAACATGAGCTTGTTTCTTTATCTCCCAATTTAGCAGAGATGGACCTCTTAACACATCTTCAATTCTTATTTTCTTAGTGTTAACTTCAACTCTTTCCCCATCTGCACGCTTATGATCATGCATTCAAACTTTATGATACAATGAATCGTTGTAAACTTAAAATTAGCAATGTTAATGTTAAATGAATGCTGTGAAACATTATATAACTCCTAAATTAAATTAGTCAATGGCAGCAGAATTGATTTAAGAACCAATAAAAAACATACTTGTACATATGGATTCCCTCCCTGACCAGTCGCAAATCTTGAACAAATTAAAAAGCCTAAAATATCACACAGAACAGAGCAGGAAACATATATAACTTAGAGCAAAGCTAACTAACCAGATTTTTGTGACATGGTAATTTAAGATAGGTGGAGAGCAGAACCCTGCAATGTATTTTCGAAACAACCAAACAGTGTAAAGTTGGGTTCTCTTATCAGAAATTGTATTTTCAATACAATAAAAGGAAAACATAGATATATTGTATGGCAGGTCCTACACCCCTGACTGGTTCTTCATCTCACAAATACAACACGATTGTACCATCAAACTTCATACCTTAAAATTGGAAGCATGTGTCTCAGATTTGCTACAGACCCTACGGTTTCGTCCTTGATGGTTGGAGGCTGGCTTATAGTCGCCATCCTCATCTCCCCTTTACTATTTCTGCTGGTGGATTCTGTGGATAACTATAGCGATCTCTGATTCGGGTGCACCTCCTCGCCGTCTACAATCTGCCATTGCTGATGTTCCATTAATAGGATAAAAATAGGTGCTGAATTGTTGTATTGATGAAAAATCAAAGAGACGTTTCACCATTTGATAGAAGTCGGACAGTCCGATGTACTTGTGCTTTCATTAAGTTCCTTAAATTATTTAATAATTGGGCTTGATGTGGCCTAAAAGAAAACAAGCTATCTCTTAAGATTTTTTAATTTTTCTTTTTTTCTGCTTAGATATCTCTGCCACGTGGCATTATGTGAGAAATTTTTTTTAAGCTGATGTGGATGGCTTCTGAAGCCCCAAACAATTGCTTTCATTTAGTAAATTTTTTTCTACTTAGAAACCTATGTCACGTGGCATCGTGTGAGGAATTGTTTTTAAACTAATATGGATGGATTCTGGAGCCCCAAACAATTGCTTTCATTTAATATAGATAGTCTTTTCGGCCGAACACTTAAATAAAATTAACAGTCTTTGATTTGTTCTCAATACTGGAGGAACATTTTAACATACATAACATAAAAAAAAAAGTTAATTCTCGAAGAATGAGATGACCAATTTGCCATTAATAACTCATTGAAGTTTCCTTCTTTTTCTACTAACTACTAAGAGACAATGGAAAGGCTGATTCAAATTAAGAGTCAATGGAAAGGGCGATTCAAACTAAGAACCAATTGTAAAATATGAAAGAAACATAATTTTTTGGCCATTGAAGCTAATTTTGTTCCATTCTCATATACATATGAATCACAACTTCCCTCTCGTTTAAGGAAGAAAGGGAAACTGTGATTTATATGTATATATAGAATGGAACTATTGTTCTCATTCTTATGTGACCTAATTTAGTGGTTTCTTGTATATTTTATTTTTATTTTCAAAATTAAATCACCATTTAAACATCATCTATTCTTGATTATAATGGTGATATAAATGATTTACCACCGTCGATGTCAATTCTTCTTAGTGGCATCGGTTCTTTCAACCATTTTGGTATGGTTTTTCTCTCAAACTAAGATGAATGGAAAAATTGAGAGTCTGAACTCTCATATGAAGAAGCTGGATGAGCAGGTTGTTCAAACTGCAGGAGCTGTTCAAAGGCAAGAGGGATTCCTTCCTGGAAGGACTGATATCAATCCCAAGCATCAGGTTGATGCCATCACAGTCAGGAGTGAAAATGAGCTTAAAACCGTGCATAAAAAGTAGTTGAGTGCAGACCAGATCATGCAACTGATGGAGTTTGAAGATGAAAATTTTACAGTCTCAGAGGTGAGTGACGAGCGTCACCAAGTAGGAGTGACGCTCGTCACCAACTTACAAAGGAATCGGGGGTCGTCATAGATTAGTGACGAGCGTCACCCCCTGGTGACAATCGTCACCCACCCTAGAACGAAGCTGTTTTGCCTGTAACTGTAGATAATGGCCAGGAACGAGTCTATAAACCCAAAACATCATTCCCCAAGCATCCCAGGAAGTCTAAACAAGAGATAAAAGAAGACATATGAAAGGCTATGATAGACAAACTGATACTTGAGATTCCTTTTGTTGATGCAGTCAAACTTTCACCTGCACTAAGAAGGTATGTAAAGAGAATGGTTGTTAATGGTGTAAGCCCTGAGTAAGGAGCATTGCTTACCAGAGACATTAGCGCAATTCTCTTAGGCACATTTCCAAAGAAGAAGAAGAAGGTGATTGTTTCTGAACACGTCAGTGCCATCATTCAAAGCAGAATTTTAGAGAAGCTTTCTAATCCTGGAAACTTTGTGCTTGATTGCACAATCTCAGCAGGATGTTTTTCCCATTCTCTTTGTGATCTAGGGTCAAATATTAACTTGATGCCTTCTTCTGTTGCTGATAGACTTGGAATAACTGATTTAAAGCCAGCTGTGATCTCACTTATCTTAGCAAATCGATCCATAAGAACCCCATAAGGCATCTTAGAGGATATTCCTGTTAACATTGAAGGTTGCATGATTCCCACAGACTTTGTGGTTTTGAAATATGATAAAGAACCTAAAGATCCTCATATTCTGGGAAGATCATTCTTGTCTACTGCTGGCGCAATCATTGATGTAAAGAAGGGGAAGATAGAGCTTGATTTGGGTGACGTTGTCATGAACTTTGACATGGATAAGTTAAGAGGGAGTTCTACCATTGATGTTCAGACCTTTTCTGTAAGTACTTCCAGAGATGAAGAGCCAGTCATGGAGCATTCAGAAGACATTACTGCTGGGTATGTCACTGAATAATATACAAGTGGGCAAGTGAACAAGATGGTTGTTCAAGAGGCAATATTTGAAAATTTTGCAAAAGCTGTTGGGTTTGAGGATTGGAGTGAGAATGATATCTTCAACACTAGGCTTGCAAAAGAGGGTCCAATGAATGCCAAGTTGCTGGAGGAGGACGAGTTTGTGATGGAGGCAAGACTTGCAGAGCTGGATTGCAGAAAAACTGCAGAAACCCGACCTGCAGGGTCAGTGACGGCCTGGTGACGCTCGTCACCAACCTGGACATAAAAGATCGACATGATTTTTCAGCTACAGGTCTATCTTATGTTGCCAAACCGAAAATTCAACATTCCACAAACCAGAAACCTGCAACTAAGCAGAGGTATGCACTTCCTAGAACCAATTCCAAACTTCCTAATCTCATCAATAAGAACTTAAAAGGTGCAAAAGCTGCTTCACACTTATGCAAGCAACGATCGTGGAAAGCTTGGTGTTTCTTTTGATGATTCTGCTGGAAAAAGAAATGTCCCACCCACAGTCACAATCCGCCCTGCTGATGTTCCTCACTTCCTTGAGAGAGTTCATGCACCTACTGCTTACACACCACCATGGATGAGGAGACGTTCTTCTCCAAGGCATTCAATGCCACCTTCTGCTCCACCGGCTGTCTGAGCAGCATTCAAAGTCGAGATAATGACTTTAAACAAGCGCTTACTGGGAGGAAACCCACTGGTAAGTTTTCTTTTTCATATACTTAGATTAGTTTTCTATTACATAGCTAAAAAAACCCAAAAACATGAGAAAAATTGAAAAAAAGGAGAGTTGGTTTGTTCAGTTTGCTTGGATGATGTCTTGTGAACTTGTTTGAACCATGGGTTATGCTTCGCTTGGCTGTTTTTGATGTGTGTTTTGAGTGCTCTAACAGTCTGACTTCGGAGTACACATGATGGCATTGCATTAACACATACAACATGTTGATTCTGGAGTATCAGAGATAGTGACGATCGTCACTACAGTTGGGTGACGCTTGTCACTCGATCTTTCGCGAAGTACACTTTTCACACTTGGTTCTAGACGTTCACTTGCTTCTTTTTGACCAACTCTTGGCTTAATAACACTGGGGACAGTGTTGTTTATGTTTGGGGGAGGTGGCTATTGACGTTGTGTGCATTGTGTTTGGTTTTTTAGAGTCTTAAAGTTGAGTCAAAAACCTGTTTTTATAGAGTCAAAGTTTTGAAACTGTCAGTTTTTCTTGGAACTAACCATATGACGTTTATGCTTATAAGAACCATTGCCACAGTAGTTGATTACAAGTCTTACTAAGTTAAAAGACATAGGTGAATCAGTCTAGCAATGAAGGTTTAGGTTCTTAGAGAATCTGGAAAATTTTATGTTAGCTCCACCTTAATGAACTTTAAACTTCTTGTCTTGGGGCTTGATTCTCATTGATCTTGATTCTCTCTTTCAAGACTGACAATAAGGTTAAGATACAGTCTCTCTTTGATCTTTCCTAATACAGCTTTTAAGAGTTTAAGTCCATAGAATAGTGCATTCATGACCATGTCTCCTAACAAGGAACAACAGTAATGAACACATTCAAGAACCTGTCTCCACACAAGTAACACAAGTATTGAGTAGCACCATATCTTAGACTGTAAAAAAATGAGAAAAGAGTTGAAATATCAAAAATATCCAAAGAAAAAGATCAAGGCAAGAGAAAATAGGAGAGCTGTGTTGAGATTGATTTGTTTAGTTGTTTAGGAAGGGAAAAGAATCTGTAAGTGATTGAGATGATAAAACCTTGATGAGATATCACACTTAGATAAATAACAGGAGTTAGCAGCAAAGATTTCGGATTTCTTGAAAGAGCTTGAACTTGATTTGAGAGATTTGCTAAGCTTGTGATGATTAAACTGAAATTTGATCTTGTGTTGGCTCTGTGGTATGTGGATTCGAAAGTGTTAATCAATGTGGTGTTCTTGATGTTTAGCTCACTGTTTCTGTTTTCAAACCTCGACCATGTTCTCTGTCTGATGTTTGCTTGAGGGCAAGCTAAAGCTAAGTCTGGGGGAGTTGATATATCATGGTTTTTGCAAAATATAAATCCTTTTGATTGAGTTTTTTTGGTCTTTTTAGAATCCTAGTAGAGTCTTTACAGGTTAAAGCATGTCTGGAGCATAATTGGAAGTTTTGGAGCTTTTTAAAGCATTGCAAGATACAACCCCAATGAAGCAAGTCAGAAGCGTTGTTCTGGCTTGGGTGACGATCGTCACTGACCTGGTGACGCTCGTCACCCGTAGAAGAAGGATCGTGGCTGGTTTTTAAAAGATTGAGAAGAAATTGCAGTTTTGGCCCAGAAGTTCTAGTATTTGCAAAAAGGCCCCAGATCGTGTTTTAGCTTGTATATATTAGGTTTTCAGCCATTGTTGGTTTTTATCTTGCATCTTATTCTTTTTGAGAGCTTTAGAGAGAGATTGGTAGCAGAGCTTTTGGAGAGACAAATCATACTCCTTCTGAGCAGATTTCGAAATCCTTAATTTCTATATCTTATTTCTTTTATGCAATCTATTATTTTCATGATGTTTGTTTCATTTACCATGTCTGAGTAGTTTGTTAGTTAAGTTAGGGCTTTTCAAAGGTTGAAGAAGAGTTTGTAGAATTGCTAAACTTATAGGAAATCCATTGGTTCTTCATTTGGTTGTTTGATAGATGTTGAAACCCTAGGTTGTTTGATAGATGTGAGAGCATTATTAATCACCTAAACTAGTATTAGATGAGCAAAAAGCCCTAGTGCAAAGAGATTTGGCTTAGGATTTTTGTGAATAATTGAACCTTATCATTACTGCATGTTTAGGTTGTTAGGGTTTGCAAAGAGATTTGAAACTCTGTGATTTAGGCATTGTTAACTTCTGCAATGAGAATTGATTAGTTATATCTTTGCGATTCATGTTCAAGACGGTTTTAATTCATTCCTGATTGCATGCATTCTACACTCTCAGATTCAACCTGCGAATTGTCCTGACTTAGCGCCTTT